ATAAACATGTTTACAACCTGGTACAAAGAACACTTTTAGTCTCTATAGCTAATTTCCTGAAAAAAAAAAAAAAACTGTACAGGGGGGTGAATTTTATATAACTCACTCATTAATTATATCAAGGCTTAAAGTTATGCATAATTAAAAGTGTGGCCACTGTGAGTGACAGGTGGGTAGATGATCCATTAGTGCCATGTCAGCTCCATGTCTTTGCCGATGTTTGGATTACTAGTAACCGGCGGAGTCACACACTGCCAAGATAGTAATGGCCAGGGCCAACCACACTGAGCTTCATAACAGCTCTTCAGAAACCTATGACATCGCAGAGATTACGTTGCTGTTTTTTAAACTATATTTTATGTTCTTGTGAACCATTGGATGTATACATTTATTGTCTGTATTTTATTTGGAGTAGACAATTAGTTACTCAGGCTTATTCTATTACTGTGGCCTATTTATGCAGGGTCACTACACTGCGCTCGTAGAGTTTTTATTTAGCGCCTCGGATGCCATCAGGCCATGGAAAACCAATGATCTCCACTGTGGCCGTACCTACTTGACTATATTCAAAATCTCTTCACCTCATCTAACCCCGATGTGTGATGGGTACCTTAGTTCTTTTTGCTTTGTTCTCACACAAAAGGTATGAATACTACTCATGGAACGGTTACTTATGTCACAAAAGACTAGTGGTATCGAGGTACCCAGATAGCTTTGGTTTAATCTGGTCATCGGGTTTTGAGATATAAGTCTGTGAGATATCTGCAACCACTCGATACACTGGAGGAGAAAGGACCTTTGATTAAAAAAATTAATGACATAATAATAATAATAATAAAAAAAATTCTATTATTGGAGGTATGTATACATCTAACATTTATATCAGACTGGTACCCATCACACAGGGGGAGTTAGATAAGGCGAAGGCATCAAGAGAAGCGGGTAACAGCAGCAGTACAGTCACATGTCACATGTTTGTGTCATCCACATTTACCTGGTCATTCCAGCGAAAGTCGGGCGTGACGATGAGACGAACGCGGAGGACGGTGCGTGTGATTGGCTGGATGCTGGCCTCCATTGTGATGGAAGGGATCTGGTGGACACACTGTTTGACTGTTAACCCGACATTGACGTGGTGAAGCATGTGACCTGGAAACAATGTAAATAAAAGCCAGTTTTCAATAGCTGTGTCGGCTAAATTCAGCACAACATACATTTTGTGTGTCCTGCTTACCACTCTGCTACTCTGAGTTTCACTTTTTAACAGCATTTTACTGCACAATGGCTTCTTTAAGTACATTTTGCTAGAATACTTTTTACCTTACCTAGTAAGGTTTAGAATGCAGAACTTTGTAGTGAAGTATTTCACAGTGGGGTTGGTGTTGGCACTTGTACTTAGTTACTGGACCTCTGGTTATTACACCCACAGCCTAACTGCACCTGTGTGTTGCCTAGTTAAATGCTAATAGTCATTGCATTTTCTCTTGTGATTTTCTTTCACCGTTGAGGAAATAAATCAGTTTTCTCTATTGTCTCTTTCTCTTCTGTTTGACCAGTGACTTCCAGCTCTACAGCTCCAAAATCTATTTGGGTGACTTCCAGCTTTAGGCTATTTGAATTGTCTTTAGCCTGACTCATAGCTTCTAACCAACTAGCGTTAGCTTTTCACAGTCTGCTGGAGGAGTTAACCATTATTCTGCAACACTTTATGGCGGACTAAAGTAAAGTAACTACACGGTTTTTGAACCGTCTCTGGTTACAAATATATTTGTGGGAGAAATCACTGTAGATGTCCAGTGTGATGACCGACACTGGGAAATGTGACTTTATTTATGTGCTGCATCAGTTTGAGATGAGGAAATCCGCAACCTTTATTTTAAAGGCACTCTTCAGCCATTTCAAAACAGAGCAATGCCAAACTGGCCGTGGGTGGTTAATTGTAGAAGGGGCATTACAGCCACAAGGTGGTGCGCCCCTGGGCACTGGCCGTTTGGCTGTGTTCTAATTCCTGCCCTGCCCTAACATTTCCTCAAATAAAGGCCTGGTTCATCCTACAGTTGTGGTAAACAAAGGCCCCAGCCCCCACTATTTGAGAATTTATTGCATATTTACATCTGACATTTGGGTGCTTTCTGTCTGTATTTCAGTGTGGTTTAGAGTCATTTAAACAGTCTGCATATATATACACCTATGAAACTAAGATTCAGTACTTTTTACCAATCTCATCTTTCCTCATTTCCTTCAGTTTGTCCACAGTGAGCTTCTTCTCCTCCAGGCGGTTCAGGACAACATGGCTCAGGTTGGGGAACTGGCGGAGAGGGTGGGCAAAGCCCCACAGCCGCTTGTCGATCACCTTACAGAGGGTGAGCAGCCGGTAGGTCATGGCTGGCCACCGCTTCCTCAGAGCGATCTCGAACAAAGCCCTGATGATCCGAGCAGCATTCTGTGAGAAGTGACAATAACAGGAGGGGGGGTAGAAGAAAAACCTGAAATGTGGACCCCAGAAGAACACGTATTACTGCTGCATCTGTAGACAGATTACTTCCCTTTTTCAGTTTTAACACTTAACTTTAAAGCTGTAATATAAAGAAATGAAACACATTTGTAGTGCAGCAGAAGTCGCTTGCAGCAGCTGTATGGTGCGTCATGCTGTATACTGGTGATTAATCATGTGTGATCAGTAGGAGGTCTGGCTGGGATCAGAAGTCCAGGTTGGCCACAGCTGTGCACTGACGGATTGCTCGTGTCAGATCTGGAGGAGAGGTCAGGTGGCAGTGTTGCTCGCTGATAGACTGCTCAAGTCTGCTCAGGCTGTGATTGATTCGGTCAGGTGTTAATGTGATCGGATTGTCTGGTGAGGCCTGAATGCACTCCAGATTATTTATATATCTGTTTGATATCTGGGTGAGACTGAGAGCTCTGCTGGACGGACGCACTAAAAAAGAATCCTGTGAATCCTTGTTCACACTCTGCTGCTCTATATTACAATACTGCCTCCCACTGCAGTGCCAGTGACTACTAGCACTGTACTACCAAGCACTACTGGTGCCCATCTGTCAAACACTTGTATCAAGTTCCAGCTGCTTTGGACTACCACCATTTTCTCTGATTTCAACAGCAAAACTATTAATAGTACTGTGTTTTCAACACTGTAAAATCAACTAAAAACTTCACTATTACCTTTAGTACACTTCATATTCAATGTACCAGCTATGTTCTTCATAGTAAAAACATACCACTTTGTCGTTTCCAATTTCAATACAAAAATAACTACAACCAACTTCCCTAGCACTTTCTCATTCATTTTCCTTCTACAGCTAATCCAGACATCCTCCAGCTCCTCATTAGGTAGAGTGGGGTGGTGGTACAGAAATGACAGCTTGTTTGAGGTAAAACAGTAAGGATTGCCTGCTTGCCCTGGGAAAGTAAAATGCCACTAAATCTGGTGAGTCACTTACCCGATCAACTCTCTGTTGAGACAGCACATACACATACCAATCGGGCGAAATGTAGGCAGGTAAAGACAAAGTTTATGAGCTGACATGTAGGTGAACATTTCAGTTATCCTGGTGGCAAGTGAGGATGTGGGCGAAACTCCAACTATGCATTTCAAAGTTTGCTGCCAGTTAGAAAACAGGGTCAAGTTTCTGAAAAGCATTGCTGGAGTGGCATAACCGACAGCATGTCACTTCCAGCTAAGTGCTGTATGTGCTCTCTGTGCTGTTGTTTGAAAACCACTAATAAAAAAAAATATTGTAAAGGGGCAAGTAAAAAATTACTTTGGCCAAGTAAATTTGCCTGACCACACGTGAAAAAACATTAACTAGAGTACCAATCTGATACATGTGCGTTGAAAAAAAAATACGTAAAACATACTTCTAAGCACGTATAATTACTATCAGCGTTGCATGCTCTGGCTCTGGTTTATCTCTATGTCACACTCAGAGTAGTCAGAGTAGGACACTCAGTATCGGAGGAAATTTCCGATACTGCTATTGGAAAAACTGTAACGTTAAATTGAACCCTGGGTAAAACAGTGTCTTTGTTACATACGTTGTCCACCAGAGAGCACTGACAAGTTGATTTTTACACCATCAAATGTCCCACAACAAAGCTATAATATGGAACAGATAAACATATAAAGATGCTTTGGTTTGGAGGCCGAGAAAGATAGTTGAGTTGAAACTCTTCCCTCTTTCTCTGCTCTGATTGGTTGTTTTTGTTTAGGCCTAGTGGACTTAGGACTAGTGGCACTGGGAGCACTAGAGGAACCAGGAACCTGATCTTTTCACAGATTATCTGTCTCATGTACTACTGTCAGGATATAGTGAAATTTTCAGCAAATACGACAAAAAATATCTTTCTAAATGTTACTTACTGCAGCTTTAATCAACTTTTCTTAAATTACCAAACGCATTTTGAATTTGGAAATAATTCTGTCAACTGTTATAGCTGCACAGCTACTCACTGAGCCTCAATGAGAATGTGTGTCACTGCGTGGTTGTAACAGAGCGGGACTCTGGACCTGACTTTAAATCCTCATTGCTCCACTATAGTTGCCAGCAGACACACATCAGTCTTATTATCCCAAAGAGGGATAGAGGAATAGTTCATCTGCATGAACTATTCCAAGTATTCAGCCACATGGAGTCAGTTACTGTGGGAAATTTGGGAAAAACGGATGAAGTAAGCAGTGAGGGGAAGAATGAAGGAAGTATAGATAAACATTATATTCTAGTGTTATGTATGTTATGGCACCTTTTTTGGTCCAATTCAGGCACTGAGTAAATTGAATACTTTATGGCTGTCTGTTGGTCAGACCAAACAGCTGCTGGAATATGTCAACATTGGCTTTAAGCTATTATGACTCAACTATTTTTTATTTTATAAAACAAATGTGTACTTGATTAACTGAACAAATAATTGCCATATTAATCAGTAATAGCAATAATAATTAGTTGTAGCACTAAACACAATGTTATGTTTAACAGCCAAAGTATATCTCTAAAAAACTTAATAAAACTGTAATTAATACAAAGATCTACACCCTGTTCCCTGGGTCTATTACCAGAGCTTGCTAGTTCTGTCATTTGAGAGTTTACTCTATTGATATATTGCTTTATTTTGTAGTGTGTGTGAATGTGTGTGTTCCTTTCCCCCACCTGTGCCACATACGACAGGTCTGAGATGAGGGAGAAGCTGTCCACCTCTCCCCGGCTGATGTACGTCTGAAGCAGAATGTTGATCTTGCCGTAGCTGTTCTCCACCCCGCCCGCAGCCGGCAGCTCGCAGTAGTTACACAACATCTGATCCAGCTCCTCCAGCTCCTCATCACGGACCTGCCAACATGCATATTTCATATTATAATGGAGTTTATAGTGGATAACTTTCATATATATATATATAT